TATCGAGGAAGAAACAGCAAAAATACTAAATTATTTGCTTTCTTAGGAGAACACCATTTTTAGAATGGCTTGGTGTTTATTAGGACTCAAATGGAAGGTGTAGAAACGTAGAATTCACTTGAATAGCATGATGGTGGACTAAAATAGGGAATTTGACATTGACCCCATAACTGCTGTTATACCATTATAATTAAAAATAAATAAATTTAATAAAATAACAGTAACTCACAATTTAAAAACCATCATTTATGAATATGATATGAAAGATAATTTTTATATTGAGGTTACTCTTGACCCCCAAAAAAGGGGGGTTTGGTGTAGGTAACCCCTACGCTCTACTATATCCGACCTCAGCTTACACACTGGCATAAACCATATCGAAAATAATCAGCCCAAAAACGTATCCACAAAAAAGAGGTAAAGAGGTGGGGGAAGGAGGTGGGCTTACTATCTCAAAATACTCGAATTATGAAAAAATGTTTCATACGACTTACAATCCGTCGTATCAGAAGTTCATTTTCCTAGTCTGGGGATTCTATATGTCCTCCCCCAGTATGGGGGTAAATTAGAAGTGGGGTAAATTATTGGTGGGATTAAATTAGTGGTGGGGGTAAATTATGGGTAGGAGTAAATTAGGGGTAGGGGTAAATTAGGGGTGGAGGAAGTTTGAAATAGTTTTGGGCGGGACATATGGTCTCGCTTTTAGATTTTTCTGTCTCTTACCAATTAGGCGTGGCAAAGGAAGAGGGGGAAGTTCAAGGAGTGGGAAGGGAAAGTTTCTTTTTCCTTTTTTTCAAATCATTATCCGTTTTTGTAATATTTTCCATGTGGTTTCGAAATTAAAGGGTGCCTATGCTTGCTATAGGCTAATTTTATTAGTTAATAATTAATAAAAGTTGGTCAATGGATTTCTTATATCGATGGTTGGAGAAAAGAGTATATAAGATTATGAATTAAATATAAAAAGCTCGGTGTCGTAGTACCACAACTAGCACTTATGACAGTTAAACAAAAACAAAATGTTGCGGCTGTATAGCAATGAATGATTAATGGAATTTAATTGGGCCATATATGCAAATATAGTATATTATTAAAATTTAATTACTTTTGGCTGTATTCCATTTCAAAGTCCAATATGTTAGCAATAAATTACCACCATAAAACAAAAAATAAAAAATTTGCAGTTATGGCGGTATTGAACTGGATGTACGAAATATTGTTCAGTTATTGTAATGTTATGATATTAGTAATTAATATCAATAAAGATTTAACGTAAAAAGGTTTAATACTAAATGATATTGAAGTTACCGTAATGGTATTATAATGGTACTTTAATATCTCAAGTATACAAAGTGTTTCATAAGGAATGGTCAATATTTTAATCATAGGTTCAGGACCTCCAAATATTAATATTTTACTAAAGAACTCTGACTCAAATGTTATTAACTACCAAGATACAGGGTACCTATTAAAGTTAAAATTTATTTATTGTTTTTTTGCAATAATTTTTTTATTATTTAACATATTGACTTGAAATTTGGTATGGTTATATTTTTAAGTTAGTAAATCATAAGCATGTTATTAATTTTGAGATTAGATAAAGAGGACACTACCTACACTTTACTGGATGCAGAAAAGTATCAATTTCTTGATTTTTGATATACCCTGTAAATTTTAACAAAAATTGTATACTTGTTGTAATAGCATAAATTTTGCTCATATCGAGATTTTTGCATTTAAAATATTCTAGCCACAGTATCTATTTAATTTACTTTACCAAATTTCAATATAGTAGGCTTGAAAAGTAAAATAAAAATGACATTGTCAAATAATTAATTGTTAGATTTAATTTAATGACCGCAGGAGTGTGTTTAGAAACCTCGCACGACGCGCCTGGACCCTATTCTAATGCATGTAGTCAGTCGAGCCGTGCGAGGTATCTAAACGCACCCCAATATTTCTCTATAGAGTACGAGGTATGCCAGAGGATTCGGCTAAATTTCTGGGATTTTGGGGTAGCGTGCTCACCAGCGCCGGTGTTTAAACATCGTAGTTAGAAATAGAGCGACGTTAAATAAGTTATTAAAAAAAAAATGCTGTCCACAAACATTTTATATGTAAAGAACGTCAGATACGTTTTAAAATATGTACAGGGTGTCCCAAAATTGCTAGGACAGTGCTACCACGTGTAGTAGAGGTCAAAATAAGTTGATTGGACTCAATTTATTTATATACCAAAATGTACCGTTTGCCCGTGAGAAGAGTTCAAAGTTTACATAAAAAAACACCTTTTTGTACACTGTTCAGAAGTTAGTGAAACAAATGAAATTTGACAAAAGTGCATTTTAGAGGATTACTCTCCTTTCGATAATTAAAGAAACCCAAAACAAATTCTAGAAGGGTAAAACCACCTTGACATTTTTTTAGAACTTTCTTAGGGGTGCTAATACGGCTCTCAAATTTTTTTAGCAAAAATACTGATTAATTATCTTAATTTTGTTACTAATTTCGTATTCCGCATAGTTCCGAAGGGAAAAAATGTTTTCTTAAATAATGCTAACAGATAATCCTAGTACAAGTTTAATATAATTGTAATTCAAAATTTAGTTGGCAGTGGAAACAAAGGCAAAACGTTTGTTTATAATAAAGGTTCAATATGACGGCCACCTTCATCAATACAAAGGTGAATTCGAGGTAAAAAATTGAAATGCACCCTTCTTAGGACATTCCACAGCTGTTCGGGAGTATTAATTTGAATAACCTACACTTTTGCTTTTAATGCTCCGCAGATAAAGAAGTCGCACGGATTTAAATCTGGAGACCGCGGAGGCCATTGAATAGGTGCTTCTTGTCCTCTACCAATCTATCTACCAGGAAATCGTTTGTTTAGACATTCTCTTACTGTACGTGCAAAATGAGGTAGTGCACCGTCGTGCATGAAGAACATATTTCGACGAAAATTAAGGGGCGAGTCGTCTAATAAATCTGGCAAATTTCTTGAAGGAAGCGAAGGTAACTGGCACCATTAAGACGATCTGGCAATCGGATCGGCCCAACCAAAAAATTGCCGATAAATCCAATCCCAACATTAATTTTAAATTCTCTGTGATAGCATGCGGGTTTTTATCAGCATAACATGCTCATTGTGCAGGTTCGTCATGCCACGACGTGTAAAACAAGACTCATCAGTAAACAAGATATTGGTGTGAAATCTGTTGTCAAGTATTCTGCGCTCCCGAAAAATTTGTGAAAAATTTAAACGTGATACGTGCCCAAGTGGTAATAACTCTTGCACTAGCTGTATGTGAAATGAATGAATTAATTGTTCTCTGCAGATCCCATTAACAGTGTTCTTTGGAATTCCTGTTTGTCGTTGCACAGATTTGGTACTAATTTCAGGATTGTAATCGATTATATCAAGAACCGCCTCTTTCGCACTGGGTCTTCGGACTCGGGGTCTTCCAGCGTTGATTCTGACTGGTTTCAACATCCATGTATCTCGAAGACGTCTCTCAATTCGGGGCAAAAGTTTTATGATTCGGAATTCTTCACTTTGTATACCTCTTTTGATATACGCCGGCACTTCTGGGACAGTTACCTTGACAGAATCCAAAAACTAAGATCATATCGATCTGCTCATTAAATTTAATAGCAGTTAAAAATAACAACAACAATTAAATAATAAATAATGGTATTCGCGATAATAACAAAATTGAAGAAATTATTGGAACATTTACAGTCAACAATAAACTTGAATGATTATGAATTTGTATCCTGTCAAAATCACGACTTGTGTTACCTTTGTATCCACAGCAAACTAAATTTTCTATTACAATTTTATTAAACTTGTACTAGGAATATCTGTTAGCATTATTTAAGGAAACATTTTTTTCCTTCATAACTATCCGGAATACAAAATTATTATAAGAGTAACAAAATTATTATAAGAGTAACAAAATTAAGATAATTAATAAGTCTTTTTGCTAAAAAAAATTGAGAACCGTATTACCACCCCTAAGAAAGTTCTAAAAAAAATATTAGGGTGTGAGGGTGGTTTTAACCCTACTAGAATTTCTTTTGGGTTTCCGAAAGTAGAGTAATCCTCTAAAATACACTTTTATCAAACTTAATTTAATTTGTTTCACTCATTTCTGAACAGCATACAAAAATGTGTTTTTTTATGTAAACTTTAAACTCTCCTCACGGGCAAACGGTCCGTTTTGGTATATAAATAAATTGGGTTCAATCGACTTATTTTGACATCTACTACACGTGATAGCTTTGTGTCCCAGCAATTTTGGGACACCCTGTATTTGTGTTTCTAAAAGAATTATTTTGGATACCTCCTGGATTTCATTCCTTTTTGTAAATGGCGAATTAAATACGAGTATTTTTAAAAGATAGTTAATATGCATGTCAAAAATTCAAAGAGAAATGTTTGATAGTTTCTGATTTTAATATGAGCAAAATACGAAATAAATCAATGTGGGACAAAATGTTCTGAAAATTATTCCTTCACGTTTTGCAAAATGTCTAGGAATAAGTTATTAATACAATGTTTTTTTGTTGTATTTTTATGATATATAAATTTTAAATTGTTGTATCGAATAACTTTTTGAAAGTCAAAATGCAAAAAACTGATTCATGGTAACTTCGGCGCACTCTATCTTTTTGGGCACATGCTTCTGTAGCTTGGGAAATTTTTTGCAAATTTAGAGCTCTACGTTTTTCTTCTCACACTTTTTTCTCTCTGACCATTAGAAATTAAATACGTTAAGTTGGGATTTTATCTTTTATACCCCAGAAACAACATATCTAAAATTTCTGGATATTCTTCTTTATTTAACAACAATAATTAAAGGTCTACAAAAATAACTTAATTTTCTATATTAGAAACGCAACTCCTATAAATGATAAAGTAGATAATAATCAACTTCAATGGTAATAATGTAATTATATAGTTAAGATTCTTAAACAAATATAAAAGCAAGATCACTTACTTGAGCATATTCAGCACATATATCAATCCCAGAAATGAAATTCCATACATCGTCGACGGTCCAATTTGAGATATCTTCGTGCAATTTGGGACTTTCGCTTTCCGATCTTTTTGGAGTCGTCGCCGTTGGTCCACCAGGTGGACTACTTGCTACGGGGGTTTTCGTGCGTGGCCTCTTCGTCGGCGGTGCTGCTGCGGAGAGATCTAGTGGAGAGGAGGAGTCCGGGCGCTTCACGTTTTTAAGCAAACCCTGTAATCAAAAGAGAAAGTTATATAATTTAATGATAATCAAACTATTAGTTCGATTAACTGATTCGTTAGCCAAATAAAAACCGCTCCGAATTTCCTTAAATTACTTAAGACAATTATTACCTAGGTACATACTAATAATTATTGTTATGTTTACTATAAATGAGAAAACATAATTTTAAATTCTAGTACGAGTCAGAATTGGATGGTATTTTGTACATTTTGTATCCGGTATCCGTAACCAAATTTCCTGTATTAATTTTAAATTATTCGAAAACGTGTCCGGTAATATACCACACACGCCGCCGTAATTTGTACCGGGCTTTCTCAAATCCTTTTTTATAAGGCCATTTCGTAATTTCTATATCCCTTTTATGTTTTCTTTATTAATAACATTGATAAAACAAATTTTTATTTTTATAACCGAAATATTTTTGTATCTACCTTTTAAGTAATCCTTGGAAATAAAATAAGTGATTTTTCAATATAACAATTTTAAATATCGATTTTTGCACAAGTGCGTGTGAAAACTACAGAGAGATATCATTAGAGGAAGTAGGAAACAAATAATATCAACGTTTATACGGTCCAGCCAACGTTACAATGCGGTCGGGCCATATAAACCGACATTGTATAAGATCCAATTGCAATAGGTAGTTAATTATACAAAAAATATTACAGTTATTGTGATTTGTAGTTTTATTTTAGAACATCCTATATAATTTAAAATGTAGCGAAAATAGCTAGCGAAAAGTGGTGCTTTGTGGCTCAAGAAAGAAAGTTGCCGTGCGACGCGTAGCGGAGCGCGGGAGTCAGTCGAAAGTGGCAACGAACTTTTCGTTTAAAATGCACACAAGATTTTTTCTACGATCACATTATTTTAAGAAATAGATATAAAAACTGAAAATTTGTGCATCCTCCTAGGATGATAGGCACCTCCTAGCCCGTGAGCCAGCCCTACAGGTTTAATGTAGTTGACAACGTCTCCAAGAGGTGCTTCTCTTATATCGGCCGGTGTTAGCCGATACTCGCCGAACATAAATCTAATAAATGAGAGCGTCGAGCAATCGTAAAGGATATGCTCGATGGTCTCATGTTTTTGTTCGCACCCTCTGCAGAGTGCGGATTCTGACAGCCCCATGATATGGAGATGCTTCCATACTTTGCAACGACCAGTCAGAATACCTGTGACTAGGCGCAGATTATGTCTAGTCATAGTCAAGTATTTGTTTGCTGCAGTGTTGTCAAGATAACTTAAGAGCTCCCTGGCAACTCTGCAATTTCTTGTTTCATGCTATCTTTCCTTGAATTTCACAAGCGAATGTTCCTTAATTAGGTCTGTCACTACCGATTTTGTCAGGCCAATAGAAGGGCCAGGTCCAAAAAGTATTTGGTTGGCTGCTTTCTTAGCTAGTCAGCAAGACAGTTACCTTTCGATATGGCGTGACCTTTGATTCATCTTAAGGTGATCACATTGTTAATGGATACTTCGGCCAAAGCTTCGTGACATTCTAGTACTAACTCTGAGTAAATTTGTGGTCTGTTCAGGGTGAGTAGTGCTTGTCTGCTATCTGTATACATGAGCATATTCCTTCCAGTGATATTGTTTCTGGTTGAAACATTAAAAAAATTCCTAACTCAAAAACCAAAAATGAGGGGATGAAATTTTTAGCAAAAATTGAGCTCTATAAGACGAAAAAGCCCTTTGATTAAAAAAAAAATGATTAAAATGTAGGGGTTAAGGGATGTTGAAATTAAAAAAAAATCATAAATGAAAAACAAAAAGCGATATCAACATGAAATATTTAGTAAAAATCAAGTTCTATAAGACGACGAAGCTTATTGTTTCTGAAAAAATCTATACTAAAATGGGGTTTGAGTAGGGTTAAAATATTGAAAAAAATCCAAACTCAGAAACAAAAAAGTATATCAAATTGAAATGTTCGGGAAAAATCAAGATTTATAAGAGGATGAAGTCTACTGATTTTGAAATAAATTTAAATAAAAATGGGGGCAAAGGGGGGTTGAAATATTTAAAAATATCCTAACTAAAAAACAGAAAATGATATCATATTGGAATTGTTTAGCAAAAATCAAGCTATATAAGAGAAAGAAGCTCTTTGATAAAAAAAATATTAATAAAAATGTAGTGGTTAAGGGGGGTTGAAATAATTAAAAAATTCTTACCCAAAAACAAAAAAATCATATCAACTTGAAATTTTTGGCAATAATTAGGCTAAGGGAACGAAGCCTATTGATTTTGAAAAAAAAAATCTAAATAAACATGGGGTTAAGGGCGGTTGAAATATTTAAAAAAAACATAACTCAAAAACAAAGAAATGATTTGAAATTTTTAGCAAAAAACATACTCTATAAGGGGACAAAGTCTATTGATTTTTAAAAAATTGGATTAAAAATTGAAGGTTAAAAAAAATCGTAAATCAAAAACGAAAAGCGATATTAACATGAAATTTTTAATAAAAATCGGGCTCTATAAGAAGATGAAGCCTATTGATTCTGAAAAAATCTGAATTAAAGTGGAAGATTGAGGGGGATTGAAATAATAAAAAATCCTAACTCAAAAACGAAAAAAGATAAACTTGAAATTTTTAGCAAAAATCAAACTCTATAAGGAGTCAAAGATTATTCATTTCAAAAAAAAATTGTCAGCAAAACAGGGAGTTCAGGGGGTTGAAATGAAAAAAAAACTCAAACACCAAAAGCGATATTAATATGAAATTTTTAGTAAAAAATCAAGCCCTCTGATTAAAAGCTGTACAAAGGAATGAAGTCTATTGATCCTGAAAAAAAGCAACAAAAAACGATATCAAATTGAAATCTTGAGGACAAATCAAGCTTTATAAGGGATAAAGCCTATTGATTCTGAAAAAATCTGAATGAAAACGAGAAGTTAAGGAGGTTAGTATATTTAAAACAATCCTAACTCAATAACGAAAAATCAAATCAACTTGAAATTTTTATCACAATAATTTGGAAGGTATGCATTGTCAAGTGTTCTGAACTGAATGGAACATCCAAATAAGCTTTATCACATTAAAATTTTTTTCAGACGAGTGATTCAAAGAAGGAAGTTAAGTGTTATAGAGGCCAATATGGCCACTGATGATTCAATATGATTCAGCTGAGGTTAGGCAAGTGGCTGTAGATTTTAATGTATACCAAAGTGTAATCTCTCGGTTTGTTAACCGACACAAAAAACTGGAAATGTTGCAGGACGGTTTAGAACTGGAAAACCGAAATTTACTACACCCGCTCAGGATCGTTACATTACTCTATCAACTCGAAGAAAGATACTCGATACCTGTAGAATCCTCAATAGAAGGTTTTTAATGCGAAAAGAACTATGATTTCAGTAGCTAATTTACGTTAAAGGCTTTCTGATATCAATTTAAGGTCAAGACGTCTTTTAAGAAGGGTTTCACTCACCGCAAAGCACAAACGTGAAACATTGGTTTAAGCTCTGGATCATCGAAATTGGCCAGGAAGAATGGAAATCTGTACTCTTCACCAACCAGTCCCGTTTTGGAAGTTATTCTGATAATCGCCACGTACATGTTTGAACTAATGACCAGAAATCGACGACATATCCAGAAAATTCGTACATTTTGAGGGGATAATGTTACAGTGTAGGGTAAAATTTGTTTTAATTGACATACAGATCTATTAGTTTTGAATGGGAATGTGATCAGTGTGATTTATAGAACAATGTTATTCCATATTTTTACACCGCTATCGGTCGTCAGGATTTCCTTTTTCTTAACGATAATGCAACTCCTCAACCAAGGTATTCCTCATTTGCGATTACCCCTAGGTTTCTCATTAGGCATGCTCGGTATCAACTTCATTAGGTGTACAAGAACCACGCCCTAAAATTATTTAGCAGTTAAGTTACCTACTGCCCTAACTTTGGATGCAAATCAGGCAAGATATGTTTAACAATTTAGTGAAAAAGTATGCAAAGACGTTGCCAAACAGTTATTATGGCTAGTGGACACTTCTATTAAAAAATTTATTGTTTTTCATAGGAAACTTTTGAGCTGGTAAATTTTTGACACAAGAGATGCTAATTTATTGTTATCAATTTATGTTTGAATATTTTTATTTAAACAATTTCTAACAATATCCCTAAGTTTTCATAAGCATTTTATTTTTAATAATAAAATCTCCAACTAATAATAAAATTGAAACACAAAGTCTAATCAACCTTATGGGGTCATCATCAGGCATAAACTAACAATGTAATTTATCTACAAGAGATATAACTTAAAGTATGTCTTGCAAAAGTAAAATGTTTGTGTCTTATTACTAGAATTTGAGGAAATCCATGTGACTTGGTTGCCACAATTGTTTAGAAAATAACATCTAATGAACGTAAAACAAAATATTGGTACAAATGAATCCTGGCTAGGAAGTTAAAGAATTGCTGCGAACGAATTATTGAAAATTATTTCACCGTCTATTGTTAGTATTACTCTGACTATCCTTTCAATAAAATGGATGAACAGGAAAAAGAGTAAAGTGGCTTGGCCTATTCGATCACCTGACCGAAACCACTTGTATTTTTTTGAGAAGATTTTTTAAAACTTTAGTTTTTTAAAAATTAATTTGACATCGTGTCAGCCTATTTCTAACTAGGATGTTTAAACACAGACGCTGGTGAGGCTGCTATCCTCAAATACCAGAAGTTTAGCCGAATCATCTGAGGTTCCAACCAGAGGGAGTAATCTTTAACGAACCCAACATCTGTGGACTCTGAACTGATGGCTTTACGTCTCCTCCGTAAGATGGCACATCCCACGCTATACCTCGTACTCATTGCTATACAGCCTGCCAGCTGTGGTACACAAAAACGCGGGCAATTTGTTTGGACTTATGTAGATTCGCCGACATTCCTTGGATAGTCAATCATCCAAGTACTTAGTGTAGTGGCCTTGGTTTACTACAGATATTTTTTTTGTGTCATCGGCATCAACTGCTAAGGTTATTAGCATCGTGTTCTGTGTAGGCTTTGTTACTGTTTCCCAGCGTCACTTTAGGAACAGCACTGTTAATTAGAACCCAACAGTGAATGGTCGAGTGGGGAATCCTACCAAGGCATCAGGATTAATTTTAAATAATTAAATTAAATAAAAAAATCCCGGCCAAAGGTAGGATTCGAACCTGGGACCCTTGGATCTACAGGCAAAGACTCTACCACTGAGCCACCCACCCCCTGCTGCAGATATTGATGCATAATATTGAACCTGCTAAGCCGGGCTGCTGCCGAAAACTTTAGATTATGCCAATTCAATTGAGAATAGAGAAAACTTATTAAAAATTATACATTTGTATGGACTCGAAATAAGGACTACTGTTGAGGTATAATGGAGAATCGGCCAACCTTTAATTGCTAGAGCTAGCGAATGCAAAATGTTAGAAGAGGCTATTAAACCGACATACAAAATTATTTATTAGAAAACATACTTAACAGTTTTTCGTCAAAAACAGTTTTTGTTAATTTTTTCGATATCGATCAAGAACACCTTTTTTTTAGTTTCAAGCTGAAGTAGTCGAATACTATCATCGTGCCTTTATTATAAAGGATGTATTAAAAATAGGGACTTTTTAGTATTTATCATTTAAAAAAGATATTAAATACACCATCAAAAACATACATTAAAAATTATAATAAAAAATTATAGCCACTTGCCGTATTGTTTTTATGAGGTTTTATCTGGATACTTCGTAGATATCCATAGAACATGCAGAAGTACTTAGGTTACATGAGTATGATATTTCTCCAGTTCTATAATTAAGGGGCGATCCACACAAAATGTTTTTAAAGTAAGCCCCGACTAGCAAGCGCAAAGATACGAATCATGTCCGTGATAACTGTGCGCGGCTCTGCAATAAATCCAAACTAACACTTAAAAAATAAGAAGAATTGCATGCATGACATACGTTAATTTTTCCAAGTACTACTTTAGAAATAATTTTTATGGATCATTTCTTATAAGTACTATAGACAGGTTTTTATACAGTATATTCATCTCACCTGCAGCTCAGCCTCCTTGGCAGTCCTAACCATCGCCAGTAATGTCTGCGTCGTTGACATATCTATTAATGGAGGAAACATGGCGGCTCCTGTAACGCTGGAAAACGGATTTAAGACTGAAAAATCCGTTCTCTTGCTGTTAACGTCATTTTCTTTGTTTTGCGGGTTGAGGGGAAGTAGATTTGGAAAAGATTGCTTGAACCTCGGATCTATGGGTGGAGGGAAGCCGTTTCGAGCGGCATTGAAGTAGCTGAAAATAAACAGTTTTTGAGTTAGAATGTTCCCCATATTTCAAATGTGACCAAAGAAAAAGAAACCTCAAAGTTTTAACCATAAATATATTTTCTTATTTTGAGTGGCAACTAGTTTCGGTTAAATTGGCCATCATAAGGCCAGTAAGAATGTAAAATGACGAAATAGAAAGCAAGTTTATTGTATGACAAATCACGTATAATTATGTAAAATAATGAAAAACTGAATGATAATTAATTATAACAGCTATATATGCACCATTTATTGATTAAATCGGTTGTTAACTATCAAATTGTTTAGATTTATCTGTCAACTATCAATAATAAATATGCACTGTGCATTTAACATTGCCAGTTACTAAACAGTTGGTTATTAAAAGTTACTAGAAATATTTGGTCGGCTGTACTAATGTGGCAGCTTTGAATTTGCATTTAACCAGTACACATGTATTTATACACATATCTTTCTACAGTTTCTATATTATTGTTATTGTTGTTTTTTATAAAAAATATAGAAAGATAAATAATATTCTCCATATTTCACCTAAAAATTGTATAATTGAAAACATAAAAATGAATTCTTTAATTGGATCATTAATTTTTGAAATTGGTTGATTTCTCCGATTTGTCATTTTGAGCTGCTGTTTATCTTATTCAGTAATTAAATTGTTTCTTTATTTTACTATTCGTCTAACAATGATTAAGTTAATAAATTAAACTCAGGTCGATCCATTTACATCTAATAAAATTAATTTCAATATTAGATTAATGCTTTTTCCTTTGTATTAAACAAAACTAATTAGTACACGTTACCTCTTTTCTTATTTCTTGTATTGACAAATAACGTTTTAAACAGGCCAAATTTGGCTTGCTAACTATCATACACTTTATCAGTGTGTTAGGTGCCTTTTAGAAATGGTGCATACATTTAGGAACTTAACCTTTTAATAATGATATACCCAAGAATGGTGCACATGACTGGTAATAAGATAAGGGGTCCGTAGACTATCAGTCTCAGAGCGTTTATGTAAAGGTTAGTGTGTTGACGAATTTGTTGAATTAAAAATGAAGATATAATAAGAAGGCAAAATACTAATAAGTATTGTAAGATGAGGAAAAGGTAGGAACTAGGGAAGTTAAACAATGGAGAAATAGAACTAGTAGTACGAAAACTACGTGAATTGATTAACTAGCATTAATGAGTGATGAGGTTCGCTAAAATACAAGAAAGTAGTTAATAAACGGAAAAATTATTAAATATAACTTCTCTGACAACTTAAAATCTAGGACGACATCCTTCAATAGTTGAAAAAACTATTATCCTAGAATTTAAATTGCCAAAGAAGTTTAAGAAGTGAATTTTGTCATTTGTAAGTATTTTATCTAGGCTCGTCACTTATTAATGCTAGTTAACAAATTATCGTAATTTTGGTATTGTTAGTTTTATTTCTAAATTGTTTATCTTCACTAGTTTCTAACTTTGTCTCATCTTAGCAATAATTATTAGTAGTTTCTCTTAAGGACTTTAAAATTAAGTATAGTTCAGGTTTTTATCATAGTTTTTTAATTTTATTTTATTTTACTTATAAATTTATTATTCAATAATATCACTTTCATTATTATTCTTAAAAACTTATGATATCTGTATCTGTAACATGTGGAGGGTGCTTGGCCCCACGGTACTTATGCCTCACTATGCCCGAAATTGATAGGCCCCTCTTAGCTCGTCAGCCAGCCCTACATATCTGATCTAGTTGACAACGTTGCTGAGAGGAGCTTCTATTACATAGGCCGGTGTTAGCCGAAGATAAATCTTTTAATAAATGAGAGCGTCGAACAATCGTAGAGGATATGCTCGATGGTATTATCTTCTTGCTCGCATCCCATGTTATTGAGATACTTCGGTACTTGACAATGGCCAGTCAGGATGCCTGTAGTCTAGTCATAGTCAAGTATTTGTTTGCTCTAGTGGTGCCAGAATAAATTAAAAGCTTTCTGGAAACTCTACAGCTTCTTGTTTTATCTCATCTTTACTTGGCAACAGAATGTTTTTAATTAGGTTTGTTACTACCGATGTTGTAAGTTCAATGAAAGGATCAGGGCCAAAAAGTATTTGGTTTGCTGCCTTCTTGGCTAGTGAATCAGCAAGACGGTTAACTTTGATATATCTTACATTTTTGATGGATACTTCAGCCAAAGCTTCGTGATATTCTAGTACTAACCCTGAGTAAATTAGTGGTGGGTTCAAGGTAAGCAATACTTAACTACAATCTGTATAGATGAACATGTTCTTTCCAGCGAAATTCTTTAGGATAACTTCTTTTACTGCTATGAAAATCACCGTGAGCTAGGTGTGGATATTACTCGTACCTGCCACTTCGGGTTCTTCTATTTGTTCCGTTATAATTTTATATGGCTCATGAAAGATATATACATATTTGTGAGATGGAGTCCATATTCGCTTGAAGCAGTGGACGCTTATCGAGCGCTTACCGCAAAAAGCGATGTTTTGCCTCAGCAGATTCTACATCAGGTCCTACTCTAACCGTGCGATCATGTCATTATCAAAGCAACTTCCTTGACTCCTAAGACTAAAAATAACTTCCATGACTCTAGTTGGTGTGGTTTTTATAGCTCCTGTTATGTTGAGACATGCTGTTATTTGAATTTGTTCTAGTTTGCGGATAACTATCAACTGTTTGGTAATCGATACCCAGACAACTGCACCGTATGTTCGCAAAGTCTTTTCATGACCGTGTAAGTCCATGTGACCATTCTGGGGGAGAGACCCCAGATGTGCCCCACGGTGAACTGTGATTTATATTTTTAAGAATGTTCAAAGTTCAAAATTTTTCGACACTAAATTAACTTTCAAAAATAAATTAAATGACCTTCACAATTAGTATTTTTTTATTTTCATGTGTCAATTCTCTTCAATTCACTGGTCATCAGTCTATGTCATTTGCCATTTACAGTCCATTGACAGACTTCGAGAGTAAAGGAATTATTAACAACCTTTTTGTTTTTCCTCCGGTGGAAAAAAAATATTTAAGTTGGATTCATTCTACTACCTTACATCGCCTAAGAAGAGTCCCGACATTCAACCTGACTCCAAACATTGTAAAAAGAAATTTTAAGTTGGTTTTTTTATACTTAAATATATCGGCTAAAGTGTTGTAACTTATGTATTTTTTATTAAATATCTTAGATTTTCTTAAAACTTGAACACTTTAAAGACTTATTTCATTCCTCCCTAAGCCCTAATATAATTTTACTTAAACGATAAAAATTGTTTCCACTTTTGTCAATATCTCACTTGACTGTCAATCTTACTTTCCAAATCTTCATTGTAAATTAATTACTGTTCTTACGGAACTAATGAAGATCAATTTGACTGAAACTAGTTTTCATTTAAAATAAAAATTTTAGTTTTTATTTTAATTATAAGAGTGTTATTTTATATTTCTAGCATTTAAGTGAGTTTAACTGACGAAAAATATATAGGTACTCAAAAATATTGTATGGTAGAATAACTATCTACCACAAATGGCACTTTTTAAATTTTGGTGGAAGCTCCCTCCAGTTTAAATTTTTTTATTTTTTGTATTAATTTGTGAATGGTAAACATTAGATTAAATCTAATGCCTTTTATGGTATTAACCAAGGGAGTTGTTGTTTTCACGAAAACCGAAGGTCGAAAACTCAGTGAAATCGCGGTATATACCTAATACACTTTTTGAAAAATATAAGAACAAAAAATATGAGGAATAAAAACAGTTTGTTTAAATATATTTCGAATATGGTTTGAAGAAAAAATATCGAGAAAAAATATGTATAAAATATCGACAACAAAATATGAAAAACCCAAAATCTTGAAAGCACAAAAGAATGAATTAATTAAATGTGGAAATTTCCTACTAATAAGATAATAACGAATAACAAAATATCTACGATACAAAATAACGGTCGTACGAAATATATATCGTATAAAATATAAGAAGTTTCAGAGGTACAAAATACCAAATCTGGGCAATATTGAAAAAATGATTAATTAAAAACATCATTTTTCAATAGCCCAATAATAATATATTGCCTAATAAGTGTTATAACAAGCACAAATGGCCGTATAAAATTTTATGTACCGTACTTTTTAATTACCGTGCGTTTTGTTTACCGAGCGATATGTTTACTATGGCACAATGAATTATTTACTACACCTGTAGGTCGTGTGTTTTTATCTGTTAACATAAATAAAAGAAAAGATGCCATACTGAACTGGAGATTTTATAGCTTCTGCAGCCATATAGAAAAAATAACAGAAAAAGCTGTAAGAATACTATGGGCCTGTAGACGGATGGTATGGAACGCATGGGGCTTAAACCAAGTATGATGCACTGGCTTTACACTATGGTTGTAGTACCTGTTATAACTTACTCATCAGTTATATGGTGGCACAAGACTAAAAGCATAACAGCTGACAGAAAATTAGACAAGGCCTGTCTAATAATAACGGGGGCATTTTGAACTTCGCCCACAGCAGCAATGGAGCTACTGCTAGGTCTTCCTCCACCACACCTTGTGGTGGAGAAGGAGGCTATGGCGGCGGCATACAGGCTGTTTACTAATGGATTTGGATGGGAACTTTCGAGAAAAGGACACCACACAATGATATTAGAGAAATTAAAACAAAATCCTGTACTAAAAATGCCATCGGATAGAACGCCCATTATTCACGACTTCAGTAAACCTCTTGATATTCAAATACCAGAAAGGGCCAAAAGCCTACAAAATAGGGAAAAACAAAACGAATCAATCTGGTATACAGACGGTTCTAAAATGAAAAACAGCACAGGAGCTGGGATATACCATGTGAACTCAGGGAGAACAATTAGTTTGAACCTGGGGTCACTGAGAGCAGTCTTCCAGGCTGAAGTAACAGCAATAAATGCCGGCGCCAAAGTCATGCTAAATGACTCTCTTAGAGATAAGAGGATCGTTATCATGACAGTCAGACAGCCCTTAAAGCACTGAAAAGGGTAGAAGTACAATCTAAATCAATATTTGATTGCCAACAGTCCCTCCAGGCCCTGGCAGAACATAACAAGATTACCCTTAAATGGGTGCCAGGACATGAGGGATTGTTTGAAAACGAGAAAGCAGACCTCCTAGCAAGAAAAGGAGCGGAAAAAACTCTTATTGGACCAGAACCAACATTTTAAATGGGTGGTTAAGGAACAAATAAAAAGAGAACACCATAGGCTCTGGATAGAACTTCCTGGACTCAGACAGTCCAAAAGATTCATAGAGAGGCCATCCACGAGCAGACAACATCAACTGCTAAACCTTAGCAGAAGCGAACTCAAGGCCGTAATAGGACTCCTTACGGGACACTGCGGCCTTAGAAGACACCTAAATCTCTTGGGGATATCTGATGACTCCCTATGTAGAATATGTGAAGAGGAGGACGAAACTCCTATTCACATACTATGCCACTGCCGGAACCTTAAATGGGAACGGGAATGGTACTTCGGGGTACAATATCCGAAACCTGAAGAAATCGCGAAATCGCCCATCAGACATATTCTTGAATTCATCAAGAAAATCAATTTGATGGGATAGAAACTGTGAGGGGTACAATAAGCCTAGAGCTTCAGTACAAGTGGGCTTTGAACCACGCCCTAATTCAGATAGATAGATGGCTCTAATGAATGACAACATACAAGATAATAAGTAACATGCGAAAATACAACAGTCGAGACCATGGTTAGGTAAAAGGAACGAAGAAAGAAAAAATCAGTTGAGGTGAAATGACGATCTAAAGAAGACTGAGATAAAATAATATAAACAACTAGAAAGATTAAGAGAATCATGACGTAGGCCCATATTCAAGGATGGACAGCATAAAAAGTAATAAAAGATGCTTTTAATTGTCAAATTGTGAATGCCTCTCGAATTATGAATTTGAATCATTGGTCCAAATTTTCAGCCTCATTTTTCCAGATATATTTTGCCAGTATCTTAGAAACATTTGAAACAAAGTTAGGACATCCATTGTGTCCTAAGGAATGGACGGACAGAATACCTCGACTCGGGTATTTACTATCGGGGTAGTAAAAGCCCACGAAATGGCCATTTTCAAAAAAGAGGGCATCTACAGTCACCTCTCGAGATCTGATTAACCTGAGAGGCTGGCTATCCCTAGACTCTCTTAGGGACAACCTGCCAGACTTTGATGAGCTGGACAACCAGCAGGTTTTTGGCAAGTAGAGAGGCAGGTTCTATATGCCCCTGGAGGATGAAAAATAGGCCTTACAGATAGGGCCTCCATTGACCATGTTGTGCAGCCGACTGACAACACAAAACTAAAAATTGCTTAAAAATCAAACCAAATACAGAACGACACGTATAGTCGCCAAGCAATTTATGTCTAAGCCATTTTTTAAATCTAGCCTGTCTGTTTAAAATCCTTTTTCTTAATGTCATCTACATTAATACTTACTCGTTAGGATTCGTATTGTTATACTTCGCCGCTAAACTTCTCATAAAATCACTATAATTCCTTCCAAGCAACGGGTTTTCTTGTGCAGGTGGGGTGTCAGGATGCGAAGCAGAACTAGGGGTGACACTCCTCGATCTACTCGACGTGTCAGGAGTTCCCGGGCTCAGTCTTTCGTTCTTTAAGTGATTATTGTTGTGAAGGATGAAGTCTGGGGCGGCGATTGGAGTGGATATCGGTCCGTTATTGTTTATGTTGCGGTCCATTCTTTTTCTTCTTAAGGGCTTGGTGGTGGAGTGGATGAGAGAGCTGGGTTCAAAAGATTCTGATGGAGACGTTGTTTCGCCTGGAATAAAAAAATGTTATTAACTTTTTATAATATTTGACTGACTAAATATGATAGTAAGAAAAATTGTTTATTAGAATGTTTAAAAATAGATAAGAAATTGTATAGTTTTAAAATTTAGATAAGTAAATAAAATTTAGAAAATAATGTTATTAAATGTAACAAAAATTTCCATTATTATTCTTACAATTGAATAATTGCTTGTATTGCCCTATTTTTTATACAAATATCATTTTTCGAGGAATGGAATGTAAAAATTTCAAAATTTGGAAACAAACTTTTTATATAACCTGATCTTCTAATGAAATTTTTTTTGGATCGAGAATTTTGAACTGAATTTTAAAAAGAAAAACATTTATTTTAATTTAATTTAAATTAATTTTCATAAGAAGCCCGAAGCCATAAAGTTTTGTTTATAATAGATTTGATATTTAGTAGTTGGATCTAATCAAGAATTCTTCTAATACTACATGTTGTAAATTGTTTACGTCATACGAGTATATAAAAATTATTTTATTGTAAAAAAAAACGGTGATCCGTCCCTGTCCAAACGGCATCAAACATTAATCTACGAATTTCGTTGGGAACTACTACTCCGTAAAAGGCTTGATGACTTATAGGTAGTAATTTGATGTCAGATTTTTAAACAGTAATTTGACGCTGAATATTTTTTGTTAAAATTTTAACACCTGCTTTCTGCTTTTGAACTGCCGAAACCATTCGAGATTCATATATGCAATAATAAAAATAATGAATAAATAATGTTTCTAATTTATCGTTCTTTTATCTAAATTTTGCTTCGGTATATTAGATGAATGTTAGATTAAGATGTCAGTGTTTTAAAGATTTTTGTATATAACAATCTTTAGTTTGTTACTATAGGCTTTTTGACCTTCTCTTTAACTGTAATTAATAAAGTTCCGTAATTAACACTATAACAAATAGAGTAATGCAGCTTGCAATTATCATGTCTATCTTATGTTAATATGTAATTGATAAATATGGCAACTTTTACTATATCCAGTCACATTATTGTTATTTTCTTTATATTTTGCACTTTGCTCTTTTCCATACTTTACACTTTGCTCTATTTTGTTTTCCCTTGTTTCTCTTCTTGTTTCTCTTCTTTTTAAACAGCACTGGGTTATCCTTTTAGTCTTTTTTAGCTTCATATAGCTGTCTAGCTATTTTAATATTGTATGTCGTTTCTTAAATGACCATACCAATTTCATTGACTTACTTCTATTAACCTTAGCGTATTCTTTAAGTTTAATTTTTTGTTTTTGTAGGTATGCCAATCATTGCCCACTTTTTGGTTTCACATAAGGATATCGGGGTTACAACTTTCTTAAAAATGTGTATCGCTTGCATCCTTTCTTGATAAAAGTCACCCTTATCCTATTGAATAGTTCGTTCTTTACTTTAGTTAAGCGATTTTCAATATATCGCTAGTTATCATTTGTGGTGCTTTTCTTATTATTTCTCTTGATTCTTCTATGCTTATTTTCTCTTTATTTGGTATTTCTGTCTTAAAAGAATGTGCCTCTAATTGTATTTCATTATGTTTTTCTTTTCTCTCTTAATTCTGTCATCATCATGAATAAGGATTTTAAAAAACATACTTTAAAGTTCACAACTTCGTATTTAGAAGTTTTTAAATAAATAATAGTAATAAAAAACTATTACTTCACTAAAAATGAATTATTACTCATCATTGTGGTATGCTGTGGCTGTAAAAATGATTAATTGTTTTGTCATTCGCTTTAACAGTTCAGTTTTTAAATTCAACTCTTCGCGTCTGAGTTATTTTGTGTTTAAAATACTTATCAGAGCATTTTTATTATGAAAAGAATTGGTTGAGTTTACTAAAGAGGAATTGGCAGACATGCTTTACTTGTATGGTTTGGCTGATGGCAGATCGCCAGAAGCTAGGCAATTGTATCAAGAACGCTTTCCTAATAGAGTCATTCTCGATAGGCAAACATTTGCAAATATACATAGAAGGAACCCATGGGACTATAAGAACTTCAGAAATTGAATAAGCAGCTTTAAATTCGATTAATGAATATCCTAAACTTAGTACTAGAAAAATCTCGCACGTTCTAGTTTGAAAAATTCTGTACGATTTTCTGTTATATCCGTATCATATTCAAGCTATACTTCTACGAGTTAATTTTTGTCAATTGTATCTGGAGAAAATTGTGTTTGACTGTGAAATAATGTGGAGAGATGAAGCTAACCTCTGCAGAAACGCTATCGGAAATGTTTACAATAATCATAATTGGGCCGACGGAAACCCCCATACAGTTGTCGAATTTCACCATCAAGAATAATTTTCAGTAAATGCCTGGTTTGGAATTATTGGAAATTACTTAATTGGACCTTTTTTCCCTTGCAGAAAGGCTAAATGACCGTAATTATGACCGGTTTCTAGAGGAAGATTTGCCCATATTTCTCTATTTTAATTAAAAATAGAACGTGGTTTATGCATGACAGCGCTCCTGCTCACTTCAATGTTGAAACAAGAGAATATTTAAATCGCACATTTAATAACCGATGGGTAGGTCCATGGTTCCCTAGGTCTCCAGATTTTGATTTTTTCTTATGGGGTCATCTTTAAACCCTGGTTTACCGTACCTCAGTAAACACAAGAGCTGAAGAATCGTGTAAGAACTTTCTGTGATATAATAATAAATACTGTAGGTATGTTTCAAAGAGTGCGTGAGAATATGAGCAAAAGAGCAAAACCATATTATATACTTTAATGTGGAGAGCATTTTTAAAAAGTTTTTGATTCACAAAGGTTGTTATTATCTTATTAACAGACCATTTTTTATAATTTCGTTAAAATTATTAATAGTAGGCTTTTTTTATTTTAGTTAACTTGTTTTTAAAGAAGGTTGTGTCATTTCAATAAAAGTGTAAAAGTTAATTTTTTAAAAAAAAAGCAGTCTTCTAAAAAATCATTAACATCCTGCGATTTGTGGTCACAGATTGGTGACTGAAGACTAAATATTTAAAGAAATCTTCCACAAAAAAACGAATTTTCTATTTAAACCAGTAGACACCCAATTAACATTCCTAAATAATAATACAGACACTCAGAGACACGCCATTGACTTTTCTTACAATAAAAATTATTTTTGAAATCCTTATTTATGAGCAGATTTGATCTCTTAAATTTCTTTGCATTGTGATATTGTCAATATTAGATAACGATACTTTTATGAACATCCAGAGAAATGATTTTTATATTAAGAGAATGCCACTGGTGGAAATAAAAATAAGGTGGCACATCAAAAATACCTCTTGACGAATACCAAATGAATACCAAATTTCATTAAAATATCTAGAGTGGTATTATAGATATTTATTAAAAAATTATTTATTTTTTAAAAACTTTTGAACTCTGTATCTCAGAAGGTAAGACGTTTATGACATACGTTCATATGAAGTTTTCTTCCTAAAATGTACCCAAAAATTACCTTCTTAACTATTGACATTCAATTAGAAAACACCCTGTATATTTTCTTTAAACTAAATATCTTTCTAGATCTTTTTTTATATTTCTTTACAGTTAACTGTTGAAACCTAAAAGTTAATGAAGAGAAAGTACCTTCTAGAAAAACGCAAATCAAAATACTTGCAGACTAATTCCCTAAAATCTACAGAAATAGCTCCTTTATCCATGTACTGGCGATAACTGGATTCGTTATGCATTATGATCACTAATAGAATAGATAGTTGCTAGTATTATTGTCTTTATTTTCACCTTAACAATATACCTACTAGTGGGAAACCAGTTTGAAACAATTCCTTGAAACTTGTAATATATTTAAGAAATATCAAAAACATTTTTATACTAATACATAATTCTTTTTCCATTCACTCTTCTTCTGATTTCCATTTCGTTAATAATTTTTACATTATAATGTTCTTAATTTTTTTACGTATCTATCTAGTAGAATTTTTTTTTTCTTCAAAATCTTCAGTACATTCATTTCCGTCGTTTCTTTAGGACTCACTGTATGTCGTACTAAAGTAATAGTAGATTGAAACACTGTATGATAGTACTACTGTTGCAAATTTTATCATTTAAACTTCCAGTCGTATTATTTCTAGTTACTTGTGTCTCTTCTCCCTGTTATATCGTTTCTTTTACCAATATTTGCATGGTAATCTTATTACTTTATTATCCAACTAACATATTTTCTACTAAGTAACGAATAAAATTTAAAATGGGACGTATAAGTTTTTCCGCAATATATTTATGCTCCTATTTCTAATAAAGTAACTGGTCTCTAAACATATTTAACGTAAATGATCGTACTATAATACCACATACTCGTGTTATAGCTATAACACCTATTTTATGAATTTCTATTTACATAGAAACAACTATAACTGCTCAACTTTCTGGTGAAGACAGTTCGTAACCTGCAGTCTCTAAGAAATAATTAAGAAATTCCTTATAAAGATCCGATTAATTTAGACTTTCGCCAATACCTTTAACTGAAATTCAATTATATGGAAACAAATCTATTTACTTATAGTAACCTGTTATTATATACACATACATTTTTAATGTCAACAAGTATTACAGTGTACAATATCGAAGTTTCATTATTATTATTAGCTTTTTTCTAAAAGTCGCAATTAATGACACTGGTGATGTATCGACAATTTTTAAAATACCGGCACAAGCTTTTTTCTACGATCACTATCCAAAGTAGGCTTTTGCACATTCAAGTCTAACTAAAAAGTTGACGTTTTCTGCGAATTGTCATAATTTAACATTATTGGTGCTCATGTGCGCCAAAGCCACTTTGGCACACGCTTGTCTATTTTCATCTGAATTAAATAAAAAAAAGCTAATCGGTATTTTAAAACAAAATGTAGGCTAATCTAAAATATTTAATTTTTTTCCGTAAATAATTTAATTATTTAGGGCCGATCTTTTCACCTCTGAGTAAAGTTACATGTAGGTTTACTTGACAGAT